AAAAGAAAGGTAATTTAGTATATCACATAACATACTCACTCATTTATCCATTAACCAAACATATTATTATAATATACCCACCAATTTATTTCAACCAACTAAACACATTTCTCTAAAGATTCCCTAGTAATCTATTTTCCAGTAATACAACATTCCTCAATAATATAACATTCCTTGAACCAAAACACCCTAAGAGTAAAGATATATTCCCACCCAAGGTTTGGTGAATCTACAGTTCCACCCTGGTTTCATACATTCTAAATGCCTGCCCTTAAATTAACAAAATGGTTTAGGAATGGTTAAGGTAAAGGCATTATTATACTGCATTAAAGTTGAAATAAAAATAAAAATTTAAAATAACCCTTCACATCTCAAATTTCTCTCACAAGCATCGTGCATCTCAAGTTTGAAATAGACGATCGTACCCCTACAACAGAAACGCGACTTGCAGCTCGTGGATAGCAAACGACGAGGGGGGAGGGTGGTGGAGGTGTGGGTTTTGTTGAGTAGAGGATGAGGATTCGAATGGTTGTGAAAAGGTTTTTCGATGTCAAAATCAATTGGAATTTGATCGTAAACTTGGAGAATCATGCGAGATTGTAGGGGCTTCGTCGGCGATTTGTGGGTGCATTGGGGTGGAGGTGTGAGGTGTTTTGGTGATTGTGCGTGGGGGTTCTGATGGTGGTGACAGGGGAGCTTGGTGATGTCAGAATCGGCTGGAAACGACCTAGGAGTGGTAGTGGTTAAGAGGAAAAGTCGCGGAACTGGTGCAATCCAACCATCCTGGTGGGGGCAGTTAGGCAAGGATGGAGGTGTCGATCCCAGTCTCCTTCGCACCGTTGCTGCCATTGGCTTTATGGTGCCGATTGTGGTGGCTGGGGTTTGCCCAGCTCGTAGGGTGCGATGGAAACTTCCATTTTAGGGAGGTTTTTGATATTTAGCTGCCATAATTAAGTAAAGTTAAAGGGTAGTTTGGAATAATACATTCTATATTATATCAAAACCTACAAATCACTAATGGTGTTAATTTAAGAGTGTGAATCTAGAATTTATGAAACCATAGGTAGAAACTTGTAGATTCACCAAACATTGGGTGGGAAAATGTCGTTTACCCACAATTTAATGTTGAACTTGACAAATACAAATATGGAGAGCTAATTGATTATTCCCTTGGTTTGGGTCACGGGAATTCGGACACTTTTATCTATTTAGTATGAGAAGCGTCACTAATAGGCGAAGGATATATGGTAAATTTCATTTAGGCAAAAGGAATCCTAAAACTAGGGTTTTCACTTATATTAAGAAAAACTGGTGGATGACAAATATTTATGAATACGACGTGTTGTTTGACGACATAAAATAGATGTCGGTTGATGGGAATGCAAAATGTCATATTTAACCCCTTAATGTTTAGTCTTTTATATGTATTTGTTTTCTATTGTACTCATTATTACTTTATTTTGGTTTAGGAAGCAAATGGAGGTGGTAATTGAAAAACGGAATAATTAGGGGAATTCGGACAGTTTCGCCACTGCTTCGTATTCTGGCATAATTCTCTCATTCGAGCTCCGATTGAGATGATTCAAAATGTTGTGGAACGCTAAGAAAGAGATCTACAACTTTTATGTTTTGAGTTTTTAGAGATGATGGCTGAATAAAGGTTGTAATCGAGCTTGAAGTTGAAGCACCTGCATTGCTGACGTCCTGGAGCGTTCTGACTTGTTATGCAAGTCAGTCTATTATGCACGTTTTGAAGACGTACATGCTGCACGAAAATTACAGCTGGAACACACCACCTTCCTATTTTATTAGGACTCTATTTTATTTATTTCAATTAAATAAATAGGATTAATGTTATTTTAATATAGGAGAATATTTCTTTTAGGAGATTGAGTGGGATTTGAATTCTTAAATAGATTTTAAAAGGGAGATCAAATGAGGTTTTGAGGGACCACGCCTCTCTCTCTTCTCTTCGCGGAATTTTTCTTTCTTTTTGGAGTTTTTGGTTGATGGCCATGAACAGCTAAAAATTTTGTAACTTGGTCGTCGGAAACGGAGACCCCCGGAATCACCAACTGTGAGATCTAATCTATGTTATTTTAGTGTTCAATTTTTGTGTTGAGTATGAATGTTCTGTGCATATTCTATGATTGATGCATTAATACTAAGAGGCCTACTAGTGTATTATTTGTTGAAATCTACCGCTAAGTTTGATATCAAATCCGTAATTGTTTGATCCCTCCAACTTGTGAAGCAATCAGGAATTAATAACCTTATGAAGAACATTCAACTAAATTAAATACAACCGCTTGTGTTTGTGTTGTTTAGCTTCATCGATCTCTCAATTCTTAAGGTGCATAGATTAAATCTTGAGCGCTTGTCTAGGGTTGTTTAGTGGTAAGATTAATTAAGAGCGCTTGTTTCCTAATTAATTAAAATTAAGGAGAGATAGGAAAATAGTTCCAACGGGGAATATTCAATGTATGAATTGATTATTTTTGCATCAATGATCAGTTGTGAGATCGATGGTGGATGTTGACGGAGACCAAGTTTCGTTATATTAATTGATTTCGAAGAACTTTTTGTTTTTGGTCTTTGTTAAGAACATTTTCTGTTTACACAAAACCCCCCAGCTTTGTTCACATAACATCAAACTGACTAGCACTCTCGTGGGATCGACCCTTGCTTACCCTATTTACAGTCAGTAGTTAGGTTCGGAAGTTTTAATTCTGGGTGCCTACGACAGCACGCCATCGGTTTTACAATCGAATGCATGTCATTGAGAAGGAACACAACGTCGTTTCGGATATGAGTACAACTTGTCATCCATCTTGAAACGACATAATTTAATCAGTAATACTATTCACAAACCATTTCACTAACTTTCTCTCATAAACGCGACGTGTCAGTCATAATCGGTCAGCTGCAATAGATCCTGCTTGCCTAACAATGGGTCTGTCTGACCAAATGCGAGCTATCACGTCAGCATTAGTGAAAGAAGTTTATGAGAAGTATTTGTTGCGTATCTTATTCTAATTTAATTCAAACGAAGTGTCGATCCTAGTATGACACGATGTTGTTTGATAATTGGATGGCTTGTTGTTCATATAGGAATAACAGTCGTATTTATACGGAACGAAGTTTTCTGGAATATTTTTAACCCCTTAATCTTTCGAGTAATGTTAGGTACTAATGAATTTACGAATTAAATTATATATGGTACCCGTACTATGCTTTAGGTTAGTACGCTGGTTAGTAAAATCGTTAGTAGCATGGTATTGTAATCTTTCACTAAATATCTAAAAGTAATTTTAGGTTTCTTATTGGACCTAAATGATATTTACCACGAGAATTTTAGATTAAAACCTCAAAAAAAAATCTATGTTAGTAGTCTCCGGTTTGAAGTTTCGTTTTGGTTGGTAGCTAAATCTGCCGCTAAATTACAAAGCACGAGCTGCAGCCGTTACAATTCCCGTTTCTCTCGTTTCCGGGATGGCGAACGTTGTTAAATTTGACAGAGAGTTATCACGTCCCCGACCCATACCGCCGCGGGAAGATCGGATGGTTCCTCACGAATTTCCAAGTTTACCGTCGATTCCGCCGTCAACGTCTCTTTCAAAGGCGTCGTTGGTAATAGAACTTAAGTTCTTTTATGTTACTATTTTTTACTTATATACCGGAAAAAATTACCTTGAATTAATGGTGGAGTAGGACGCAGCAGACGTTTAATTTATAATTTGTATGGATTTTTGTGATGTATAGCTCGATTCGTTGCAATCTATAATGATTGTATGGGTATGATTGTGATTGAAATGGGTTTCTTTTTTGACATTGAATCAGTAAAGCTTTAACTTTTTGTAACAAGTTGAGCTTTTGTAAGTGTACTGTGTATAAAAGGATCTTTGCTTTGTAAGTGAGCCGGGGAAGTTCATTTTAACACTGAATGAAAGAAATCAATTATGTTTTTAAAATTTATAGGTTACATAGAACTACAACGACTTGTCTGATGGTTCTCGTAATGATAATTCATGTTTCAAACACCCGAGGATATGATGCTCTGTTATATTGTTTCTGTATTCATAGGGAAGTTATTAGGATAGACCTTTACTGAACAAACGGACGGAAAACTTTATAAAACAATGTCTTGTTATTCAAAAATATGTTTAACATTTTCGGATGATACAAATTTTGTGTTGAAACTTTCACATGCTGATGAAGCCAATTTGTATCGTTGTTGTTTGGTTCTTTTAAAGCAATTAATAAAAAATGATTACTGGTTATATTATAGTGTGTGGTTTAATGCTGTAAATGCGTAAAATATATGTCACGTGTATAAACAATTCTTAGAGTTGTCATACTTGACACCTGTAGTCTTTTTTGTCTTAGAATTATAGCAGAAACATAATTTTTGTTCCTGTTGGTTTATTTTTACATCTGAGGTTGTATGTGAAATGTTATGTAAATTGCACATGTGAGAGTGCGACCACTTCTTAATACGAAGCTGCATCTAACTGAAGCAGCTATTTTTTTGCTGCTAGGAGATGAAGAAAAACACACTTTCATTAACTAGAAATTTATATCCCCCCCCCCCCCCCCCCCCCCCCCTCACCTCCCCCCCCCCTCTTGTTACAAGTTTACGTTGTGAATTAAAAACTAGGCTTAACTCTTTCAGAATTTAGATGGGCGAGTCAGAGACTAGGCTTGGTCAATGATATACATAATCTGTATTGCTCAAACTTGAGTCGGATAATCTTTGGATTTTGTCATTCTACAGCACAATTATGAATTTAAATAACTGTGGTTGTGTTTAGTCTCTTGAAAGTTTTTTGTTTGTTGCACTACTACCCTGATTCCTTTCTTTTGTAGAAAGATCTCTTTGGTATCCTCTTTGTTAACATCATCTCTGTAATGGACTTTTATTTTTTGAGGTATACATATGCACTCATAGATACAGCGCTGTTTTGAATGTGTTTAACATATTTCTCATTTGGATCATGCAGGCGGAAGGAAATTGTATAAGATTTTGCAGGAAGGGTTCAAGAATCAACCCCCTCCATGCTCACTAAATGAGAGAACAAACTTGCACGATATCGAATCAGTGGAGGAGATGCAAGCAAAGATGGAAGAAATGCAGGAAGACATGAATATTGTGAAGCAACAAAATAAGGCATCAGCCAAACTTTCAGAACCTCCAAAGCCTCAGAAGAAGATACCTAATGAAGACATCAAGGGATCAGATCTTTTGAGAACCAAAGAGAAAAGAGTCTTCATTCGCTCCAGGCTTTAGAAATAAATGTTCATTTCACAAACCTTAGCTCCCACGAAATATGAAATATTACTATCTTAATTAGAAATTTAGTTGTGTAGTTGGAGTTTTAAGCGTAAATAAATGATAATATTTGAACAATGGCTTTCGATGAAGCCCTACTTGTATCCTGCTTAGCTATCTTTCTTCAGCTTGCTTATTTTGCTCTGATTTCTTGCTCTTATTGAAGTTTAAGCTATGGATTAGAACTGCAAATTACCCTAAATTGATTTTGTTTATATTTGACTACTTGTAATTTAGGAAAGAAAATTAGGAAAAGTGAAATTTCATCAACAAAAACAGTAAGGCTCCAATCTCCGCTCTCCAGGCCTTCAAAACTGAAATCAGTTTAAAATGGCCTCAAAGTAATAACAATAACAATTGGAGGGCATTATTGGCAATCAATTTTCTTATTTTACTCTCGGTTCTCTCTCAACCGTTGTCATTGCTTTCACTCTCGTAGTTTCTCTCAACTTCTACGGACACCCTGTAGGTCTCTCTCAAACACTCACAACCATGTCGGCGTTGACAGCCACGGCTCGCCAGGCTGCTAATTTGGTTCGGCTCTCCTCCGCAAAGTCGGCTTCGGCCTCTCAAGCTGCTTCTGTTATCCACCGGCGCGGTCTGGCCGGCGGCGGCGGTAACTAGAATCTTAAATTGTGTCATGATCATATATGTTTCTTATCAATAAATCTTGAAATACTTCTTTTTTTAGTTTGTTTGATTAAATTAGAGAATGTATATATTCAATTTAATTTATTATCAGTTTGCACCAAAAAAAAAAAAAAGTGAATTCTTGATTGATCACCTTATATCCCCTTTTTAAATTTCTTTGTTAACACTAAAAAGTACTTTCTGGAAACGAAGTATGATGAATCAGAGACCCTAAACCTTACCACACACCACCACCAGCAGCACTTCTGCTGGTGCGCGCGTGATTTTTAAGAAGTATAGAGTAATAAGTGTGGTTAAGAAATGAACCTATTTTATGTCTTAGTAGTAGAAATGTTACTTAACTCTTATTTGAAGAAGCAATAAGTAGAAAGGCGAATCGGAGTAGCTTATTGTGTATTTTTAGAGTTTCATGTGTTTTAATACATATAAAATGGCAATATTGACGATGGAAAAGGAATATATATATATATATATTATTTTTTTTTTTTTTAAATTTCTATTGCATATTTTGATTGAATTGCAGACCATCATGGACCACCGAAGGTGAACTTTTGGGAGGACCCATTGAGCCCATCCAAATGGAAAGAAGAACATGTGAGTCTTTTTGCATTTTTTGCAAGTAATGGGAGAGCTGTTATTGATTGATGATATTAGGAAAAACTTTATATGTGATAAGCTTGTCCTAGTCGTTTGTTATTTATTTAAGTTGGGAGAAACTTGTGATGACCTATGATGGTGTTACGTAATCTTGAGTCCATCTTCACAGAATGTCAATTTGATTCTGTTTGGTCCATGTTGGCCCGAGTATGCCATTTCTTTCTAAGATAACTATGAAAATTAGGTTGGTCCTCTTGAGAAAAGAGAAAAATTTATAATTCAGGCTGCTTTATTTGTTATGGTCCAAGTTTGCTATAATAGTTTATCTCGTTGCACAAATAGCTAGTTTCACACATGATATTAAAAATTCAACATTTTCACTTTAAGATGTGGCTTGATTATGAAATGGTTGATAATGTAAATTGTGAAGTGATATGGCGTGATTTGATATGATTTTTATCTTGGTGCAGTTTGTGATTGTCTCTTTAGCTGGCTGGGGCTTAATTTTTTATGGTGGTTACAAGTACTTCACTAAAGGGAAGAACGACAAGCAAGAAGAGGTAATTACATTATCCTTTTTCGTCTAATTTGTCATTGAGTAATGTGATGATAAGTGTTACGAGCTTTGATTTTAAGCAAGAGGTCAAGGGTTGTCATCCTGTTGGGCCAACTACTTGATATTAGATCCCACAAGTTCTCTAGCTATCAAGGTTGTAAGATCTTAAAAAAGCCTTTAGAGTAAGTCAATGAAATAGGCATGACATGATTGAACTATAGCATTTTAATATTATATTTCCATAAATGATATTTAGTGTGAAATTGAATGAAGGTTACATAGCATTGTCCTTTTTGCCTATGATAACTCAGCCAGGTTTTTTTTTTTTTTTTTTTTTTAATAATTAACAGCAGAAGGTTGGAGAGGCATCTCACTAGGCTTCTGGCAGTCCCTGAATATAGATGGAGTAAAAGTGGATGTTTTGTGTTATGAGATTCCCTTGTTGATGGCAGTTTTAGCTGTAGATGACCGGATGATGATGATCGGCACATCTTTTTTAACTTGTTTCTTGTGGTCCTGTTGACAATACAATTTACCATTTAAACTTTTTGTCAAGTTATAATAATGGATGGAACGATGAGGTTCAGGATGTTTAAACTTTTCAATCCTTCAATTTAGAAGGGTTTTGCATACCAAGATCTAATATCCTCAGTTGGTACCAGAACTGTGTGTGTGATGGTTCACTTTAAACGGTTTCTGAGATACTTCTGTGTGCAGTCATTTTATCCAACCTAACTAGAAAGCTATAAAGTAAACATCAATGCAGATAGTGCAAAGGGTGAACAGAAGAAAATATGCAGAAATACAAAAGTATCAAACAAATGACAGGAAATTTTGTAAATTAACCAAAATTCCAGGAACATCGTCATTGTGTTAGTCAATTCTGTATCTTTTCTATGTTAAGATTTCATGGCTCTGAGTAACTAGGCATTACCTTTAAATTTTTATTTATTTTTCGTGCCAATACTTGAACTTTCAAGTAGCTGATCATCCAAGTTCAAGGATTTTTACCAAAGAAAAATACCAACTAATTATGGCCCTCACACTGCCCTCAGTCTGCGTCGTTTATTTCTGCTTCTACATCAACAACTGCTTTAGAAGGGTCCTTTCCTGCTCAATCATGGTGATTGGTGACAAAATCAAGACTAAATAATAATTTCGCACCAGAAAAAAGGCAAAAGTGACAATTTAATTAGCAATTCTGGGCAGTAGAGGAATATAACTACTGTGGTTCAACCTATCCGTTTGTCATGCACTTTGTACGCTAGCAATGGTTTCTGATGAGGCATTGCAGATAAATGGATTCTTCAAGGGTCTCTATAAAGTCAGAACGTTCCAGCCTTTCTAAAACTTCTATTGAGCTTTTGATTACAGCTTTGCATGTGGAAACATTATGGATCTTTGTAATCACAGCTAGGGCTGTAATCGTAAGAGCTCGTTGCAATTCCTTAATTGAGCTTTGATTTGGTGCTTTTCTCTTTGTTGAATCCAAATCGAAAGTTGAAGAAATGCAATTCTGAATTCCCTTCTCCTTCTCAAGAAGAAATACAACCAATCACGCCTGAAAAACCTAAAGGGTGCGTTTGGTTCAGAAAATAATGCATTACTAGAAATGTTATATTAACAGAAAGTTAGATTACCGTAAAGATTATTTAGAATCTTTAAAAAAATGTATTTGATTAATTGGAATAAATTAGTGGGTATATTATATTAATATGTTTGATTGAAAAGAATAAATTAGTGAGTATGTTATTTAAATTACTAAATTGTCTTTTTTTAAATATTAATATAATATTATTTTTATTATTAATTTTTTAATATTCTTTTAACCAAACATTTCAGTTTTAGCTAAAACACCTCCACTTATATAAAACTTTAATTTATAACAAAATCACCCTCACCACCCTAAGCCATTGCCTGCCACTGCCATTCTCCTGCCACTGCCATTCGCCGTCGAAAGTCGTTGAAAATCGCTAAACATTGTCATGAGTACTCGAGAGCCACCACGAGGCTCCGATATGACCGTTTCTGGTCATATTGATGGCCGAAAAATGCCATATTGAAGTAGATCTAGCTGGAAATAGCTAGATCTATTCTGGCCATTTTCGACCAAATCGATGGATCTAGCCGTTAACGAGCAGATCCATGGCCTTTAATAGCCATGGATTTGAGAGCGTTTGGTTGGGGATTATATAAGATTATTGGGGTTATATCATCTTATATTATTTGATTATCATGTTTGGTTGTCAAGTAATATAAGATTTCGGTAATCTTTCAATATAAATAGTAGTTACCGTTTGTAATATTGGAGGTAAGTTAATAACCTTCATTTTCTTAAGTATTTAAAGATTACCAAGGTAATCTTATTTTTGTTATAATTCTATCCTGTATTAATAAAATTTTAGGACAATAATACTCTTATTTTTAAATTAATTTACATGAATCTGGTTTTTACTATTTCACCCCAATTAATTAACTTAATTAACTTTTTGGACAAAATTACTCTTGAATTTAAAACAAATTGCAGTCCACCCAAGCCACCACCCCCACCCACCCACCTACCGTAGCCTACTGCCAGCCAAAACACTGTCGAAGAGGCTCATTTTCAAGGTATGACAATTTTTCACTAAATCGAAAGGGCCAAAACTAAATGGGTGAGGGGAAGAGCCATGCAGGATATGTAATTTTTGTTAGACTAGGATTGGCGCTGAGAACAAGACTTTTACGATAAGGTTACACTTAGAGAGAAGCACCTCCAATTAACAACGCAGCATGGTTTACGCTTCCTCTCCAAGTGCCGCCAGAATTAGAATTATATATATATATATATGATGTTGGTAAACCTAAACCTAAACCTAAATTAATCCCAAGTTTTTTTCCCAAAACCATATATGATCATTCATTTCCCACATTTTTTTGGGTAATTCAATGTGGAGTCATAATATCAACCAAACTAGAAAAATAGCAACAATAAGCAGACACTGCAAAGGGGTGAACACAAGAACCAAATTATCCAACAGATTAACCAAAACTCTTTTGACCAGCCTTTTTCCAGTGAATTCTATTATTGTATATCAAGCCCTTATTACATTTCAAATTGTATATCAAGCCCTTATTACAGAAAAATTATGATTAACGAGACACAAAAGAAAGCTATCAACTCATGATATACAACTAACTGTCAAAATTTTAGACTACATTTGCAGCGTCACTTCGCTCACCCATCATCTTTGCAAAGTTGTTCACCATCTCCAGTTCACTATAACAAACCATGTATGAGCACTTAAAGACACTTCAACCCCCAAGACTAAAGCCTTTATCAGATACATCTATACCATGACGGAAAAATGCCACTGGCTAAGAAACGAAGATGATCATGTTTCTCATTCAAAGATCATTACAAAGTATAAAATACAAAAGGACTATAGACATCAGCCGTTATTCTGCATCTTTGATTTCTGCTTCAACATCAACAATGGCTTTCGAAGACTCCTTTCCTGCAGAACCGTGGTGATAAAATCAAGAGTGAAAAATGATTTGCACCGAAACAAGTGTATAAGCAATAACAAGTTGTACGCTTTTATGCCAGCAATGGTTATAAGTCTGTAAAATGTTGTAAATGGTCTCCATAAATTCAAAATGTTTGTAAAACTTCTTTTGCTGGTTACGATACATAATGATAATATAAGCTCATCAAGCACAGAAAATAGAAACACAGTAAAAGAAGCTGGAAATCAATAGCCAAGTTTGTTAATGATTCAACTTCGAAGGTCGGTAATTAATGACCTAGATCCCACCTTTTAATAAACCATCAAACAAGAAACTAATTTTGAATTATCTGAATTACATCGCATTATAAACAAGAGCTGCAGGAAAAACCTTTGTTAGAACCAGGAAAGAATTCACTGAATGCTTGTCCGAACGTTGTAGATTCGTTGGAGAAACTCACAGATTCCTTAACAAACTTGTCATCCACAACTGAAATTCACAGAAGACATAGTTAAACATTAGAAGATATGGAATCTAACTTCTTTCTAAAATTCAACAACAAATGCTTTGCAACACAAGAGAAATAAAAATAATAATGATAGATATTACAAGTTCAAGAAAAATTCAACTATGATCAACCATCATGCCATGCATAAAGATGATAAAAAAACATGGACATGTTTATTAATCAATCAAAGGGTATACCCTAAGAATATATAAAATTTGGTTTATACCATTCCATGATGGGCAACGTCATTTGTTATGTATAAAGTAATAAGTGAATCCACACCATTAGACTACCCCGAAGGTTGAAAATGGAAAAAGAATAATTTAAATGTCTATGCTTAACATAATAGACACACAAAAAAACACTAGTAGCATGTACTGAATTCAAAAATGAAAAAATCAGCACCATAAAAAATCGGCAAAACTAATTCTAGGATATAGATAAGTTCATGCATTCTTCTGAATTCCAATTTTCCACAAATATAACGAACCCAAGAATCAAATTTCACCTGAGAAGGGTTGACTGCAGTAGGGGCACAACTGCAATTCATCGCTCAGAGCAGATCTGCAACAGAACAACATAAATTTCAAGGTCAGACAACTTACAGCACAAAAAAAGCCCACAAAACTCCTCACATATTGGCATGGAGCAAATAGATTTTCTTACTTGAATATCTGAAAGTCATTTCCACAGTTTGGGCACTTCACATAAGCCATACAGTGAAATTTTGAGGGAAAAAAAACGCAATTAGTCATACATCAGTAAAATTCTAGAGGAAAATGTTTCTAATGATCCATAAAGTCAGTGGACACAAACAAAAAGGTGACAAGGAACCTAAAGTTCAAGAAGCCTTACAGTGCCCTGCACCATATCTCGACCTGCCCACCAAAGAAAAGCTCCCAAGCCCACAATAGGAACAAGCACAACAATTAGCTGGGGCAGAAAAGGCATCATAACATTAGATCAAATTACATGTATTGGTGTCATTTTCAACAGGTTAATATCAGAGACAGGGGCAATAGGTTACAAGTGCTCTCTGCTAGAGACCTAAACCCTAATTCAAAAATCAAATGGTAGCAAAGCTGGACTAATGATTAATGCTGCTCAACCCAAAAAGTCAGGCAAAAACCACAACCATATCAAGTAAAATACAAGAGTATTCTAAAACAAGTAATACAGTTCGGCTAAAGTCACCCTTCTATCAATTGACTAAGAGGTGCTTTAGCTAGAAAGTTACAGTTTGGGCGAACACAGGAATTCAAAGGAAAACAGACCAAGTTTTCAACAGGATTATCAACATATCAACAAATATGGGTTAACACAACTGTTGTGGCACATAATAGAATCACCTTCCGAACCAGCTGACACATCTTACAATCATAAAATCGTTCTTCATAATAGCAAGTAATTTTAAGTTTATCAAAGACCAATCGGACCATCAGAATTCAGAAAATCGAGCAAGTCACAACAAAAGATAATAACACCTTATTAGCAATCCAACAATGTCTAAATTGTTTGCCAATTAACAACTACACAAAAAGGTAAGAAAGAAACAAAAGCTCCAATTTTTTGAAGTAAAAGAAGAGAATATAAAAACTATGCTGAAACTACATATGCTCGGCAATTGGGAGCTAATTTTGCATCTATAAATTGACACAAACAAGTATACATACACTGATAATCATATGTATACATACACATAGAAGGTTAATAGGATGAAAAGGGCGTACCCAAATAGAGACGATAGCATCCACAACCCAACCAAGTTGTCCAGTCATCGAAAGATAAGTTAACAAAATAGCCAAAGCAAGATTACCCAAAACCCTTGCATTTGCATTGTTGTCTCCCCCACCCCCACCACCACCACCACCATTAAACCCAAAACCTTGATTAAACCTCACCAGAACCACTCTTTTCTTCCTCTTCAAGCCCTCCTCTTTCACCAATGTTCCATCTTTGGCCCTTCCCAATCCCAAGTAACACCAAAATCTCTCCTCCCCTAAAGCTCTCAACTTGTAGTTGCTTTGATGAAAAGAACCAAACTTTGGCCTTGATAGAGAGCAACAAGAAATGGTGGGTTCCTTGCAGAAATGATTATGCAATTGTGAAGTGTTAAAGGTTGAGAGGTTTATGGAGAACAGCAGAAGTGTTGTCATGGGAAAGTTGAAGAATTAACAAAAGATAAAATCTAAAGCAAGGGTTTTGGATTTGTTTTGTTCATCGAGTGTTTCATAGCTTAATGACAGATTTTTCAGTCTTCATTTATGAAGTTCTAGCTCTCACTTTCTCGTTTTAGATAATATGAGTCCGTAGTAGCTGGTGGGAATGTGCCACGTGTTTTTGAAGTACACTTACTAGTTGCTTCTGGCGGTTAGAGCTGCTCTTGAGACCAGTGGCTCATGGGCCTGGGATCGGCCCCAAACCCATGAGCAATATTAGAACCCAGACCGATCATTAAGACTGGTCCTATAGGCCCAAGACCAGTCTGATAGGTTTGGAAAAAAAAATTCCCTCCATGATTTTTTTTTTTTTAATATTTTAGGGGCGAAATAAAATTTTGTAGAGAGTTTTTAGTATTTTTTAAGGGTAGATTAGTAACTTTCTAAAAATTTAATTAATTTTTAAAAATAATTAATTAATTAATAGTTAATTTTAATTTTAATTTTTAATATAAATGTAATATTTACATTTCACACATTCAAGCTTCACAAATAAACAATTAAATAATTTTTTTTATTAAATTATTCATCTTCATCATCAATAATATTTACATCATTCAAATCTGTATTCCTAAAGAGTTCAAGTAGTTCAGGATCTTCAGGGTCCTGTTGTAGTCATCTTTCTGCATGAGTCCAATCCCGTAAACACGTTATTACTTCAATCATCTCATCGGTTAAAGAACATCTTTTGTCTTCAACAATCCGACCACTCGTTGAAAATGTTGACTTGAATGCAATTGTAGAAACCGGCAAAGATAAAATGTCATGTGTCATTTGGGCTACAATGGGGAATCGACTTTTATGTTGGTTCCACCATTGAAAAATATTCATTTCATGTTGTTCCTTCATCATCATAAAGGACAAGTCCACTTGTAGGTAGCGATTAAGCTCATTTGGTCCATGTATGTACGAGCTAGAGTTACTACTTCCGCCACGTTCCATATATTTCCACTTGCTCGATCCTTGATGGAGGGTTGCATCAAGGTCTTGATCCTCTCTCCTGAATGTTCTACTTCCACTTCCATTGTACCTATTCTCATATAAAGAAAAAATGCTATCCAATTTTTGTTTAAAGTTAGTCAAATAAGATGTATAATCATGTCCTAAATGTTGGCCTAACTCAGTAATTATACAGTTAACTATGTGTAATTTAAACCTACGATCTAGAACAAGGCCTAATCCATATAAGAATAGAATATCTAACCATTATTTCTCATATTTTTCTTCCATCTTTAAAACAATTTCCCTTAAAACGTTATTATATCTATATTTAGCAATTTAAAGTAAAATATCTAACACTAAATTAGTAGTCGGATAATAAATATCATTTAATGTATTAGTAGCATCATAAAAACTTTTAAGAAATGAATAAAAAAGTTCACAAACCACCCAATCATCATAGTTGACAACTTCCTCTGGATAGTGCTTCCGGTTGACGAAATCTGCAATTTGTTTCGCGGTTGGCAAAGCTTTTTTTCAATGTCAAGTAGGTGGAGTTCCAACAGATAGCATGTCCGTACATAACTTTAAAAGTCTAATCGGTAGGTCTTCTTGCTTACAATATTTGACGTACTTCTACCATATTTTATTGCTACCACCAACGATAAATCCGATAGTCGCGCGCACCCTTTCCATCTTCGAATTTATAGCATATAAACCTACTTTAACTATCAAATTGATGATAGGGCAAGCACATCTCTGATGAAAAAATTTGCCTTCACCACGCGGATCTAATATCTTTTCAAATAAAGAGATTGTCGCGGTGTTAGCAGCTGCATTATCAAGCGTTAGTGCTACAACTCTATCAGTTAATAAATATTCTTGCAAAACTTCAAGAATTGTAAAATAAATAGTTTCAACACTATGTTTTTCATATAACGGTTTAAAACCCATCAATTTTTGTTGTAAACCCCAATTATGATCTAAGAAATGTACTGTGACAGTTAAAAATCAGTTTTTGATCTACAAGTCCATATGTCTGATGTAAGTGCAATAGATATATTCCTAAAATTTTGAAATTTTTTTTAAGTTTATTATTTATTTTGTTATAAAGTTTTAGTATATCTCTTCTACTTGTACTTCTACTAACAGGGGTATATGTTGGACAAAATGCAGTTTTAATCATGTGAATAAAATAAGGATTTTCAGATAAACAAATGGGAGAGTCCGTAGCAACTATGAATCTTGTTATTTCCTCTCGTGCAACATGTGCATTATATTACCATGTTGAGAGAGTTGAGGATTGTGGATTAAAATTAAGTTGAGTTTGAATTTGTCTACCTGATCCGGTTGAAGATGTATCAGGCAACTGCATTATTTGGGGTGCTTCTTCTCCACATGTCGTCGTATCGTCGAAGTCTCATTCTCAGCGCCAATAATGGTTCCACAGAAACTACATATCTCACACGATTATTCCCCCTCCTCGTTTGTCTTTGGTCGTTTTGATTTGGTGAAGTGTCGCCATACATCGGACACGACCCTCTTTGATAGTCGGGGGTGTTGGGCTATGTCAGTGCTCGTTGACTCGTAGCTCGCATGTGTTTGGTTACACCTCGTCCTGACCGAATGTGGTTGTGGAATTGCAGCTGCTACTTCTAGAGGAAATGGTGAAAATGGATTGAACCCTTCTATTTCTTCGGTGGATGGAACGTCAAACCCATTTGGGGATGATTCTCCGAATACATCATTTCGGGAATCCATTATGAATTTATGATAAAATAATAAATAATTAAAATGAAAAGAAATTAAATAATAATATGAATAAGAGATGATATAGAAAAATATAAATAAATAAATAAATTATATGAATAAATTATAAATACAAATTGAATGAGAATTTAATTGGAGATTTGGAGTAGAGAGATTAAAAGAATGAGAGAATGAAAGATTGAGTAGTGTGGAAAAAATGAAAGATTTTAGGGTTATTATAGTGAAATTGTGGGGCCCCCTACCAACGGTTATAAAGAAAGCAAAAATATATATATATTATAAATTTTGTAAAAAAATTTTAACCCCTATAATTTATGTTTATTTCAAAATTTATAGAGGGTTTTAGTAATTATATAAAGGACTAAAAAGAAAAAAATGCAAAAAAAATTTTGCTCGGGCCTTGGAGGAGGGCCCAATGGAGGGACTGGACCCTCCTCCTTAGGCCTAGTCCCGTTTTGGGACTAGGCCGCCTAAGATTTGGTTTTTGGGCTGAGTTTTTGGACCTAGTCCCAAATACCTACCGCTGGGCGGTTGCTTAGACAACTGTTTTGAATGATTGATTTTGGTACCATATACAACATTATTTTCAATAATGTTGGGTCAAATTTTTTTTTTTACAATTTTCGATTTGGTAATTTATCATTAGTTAGCTCATAAATACGGAGACAAAATCCATACAAGCACGTGAGACTCATGAGCTGACCAATGACAACTGTGAGAAAAGGTTATGAGCTAGCATTGCTCATTATTTTTTATCTTATTTAATTCTGGGCCATTTGAGGAAAGAATGTTGTATTTAATAACTTGGGGTCTAACTGTCAAAATTTGAGACCCTTCTAAGGTCTTAAAGTTTATCCACTGAGAAGTTAGAAGTCGGACAGAACCCTAAAAATCAAAGCAGTATTAATGAAACATAGGAAGGACAGGTTCTGAAAGGAGAAAATGAAACCACATTTGGCATGAGAAAATCTTGGTCAAATACTCAAGGTGGAGTACTAAATAGTTTGTTAAACTCCTCTGGAGCACTGCTTTGCAATATCAAAATGCAAAAGAACCTATAATGGTGTTTGCATCGGTTTGGCGCAATTAGCATAAATTCCATCAAGAGACACCCAACAAATAAGGTGGTGGAGGAGGGTTCATGGATGGGAAATAGTCACAATTTAGAAGCAAAAGCATCAGCAGATAGGTATGCACACAAGTAGGAGAAAGTGGAACCATAGAGGCCTCTTAAGTTTTTGTATGCCATAATTTTATGGAGCTATATCTGAATTCCTGATACAATAATACAAGTAGACGCTGCAAATGAGCATCTAAGTTCAGTGGATTGATGCATAAACAAGTGCACTGTTTCATGAATTGCGAATCACTGATATCTTCAATATAGTACATTAAAGTTGTAGTTTGTATTGATGTCCGGTGGCTTTAAAATCATTCTTGCTTGTAAGGTTTATCACTGTATGCATATTATTGAAAAGCAGAAAAGAAAACCACTCACACCAACGCGTTTTGGAGTGCTTCCTCAATATGCTTCACGTCTAGCCAGAAATGATGATATCTGATTGTGCCCAATGCTACAAAATGTCAAGCGCAACACCCTGCAAAACAATCATTATTAATAATAGTTATGGCCAATTGCTTTAAACTTGGTATCCTGAAAGCAAGAAAGCTTGTGCGTGAGAAATGACCTGCCGAAAGCAGAAGGACGCAATTCCTTTAATGTAGAGAAACTTAGAAAGTTTTTATTTTATTATATATAAGTATAAGAAAAAGTAATGCCAAGCGGGGATAGCTCAGTTGGGAGAGCGTCAGACTGAAGATCTGAAGGTCGCGTGTTCGATCCACGCTCACCGCAATTATCTCATTTTCTATTTCTTTCATACGACGTCGTTTACCTAATAATACGATGTTAGTGCATTTTCTATTTCTCCACCCTACGGCGTTTGCCTCCAGTCTTTTGTCAATGAATACAATGGCGTTTAATTAGTGCATCTCTCGTTCAAAGTGATGCCTTTATGAAGAAACAATCAAACAAATACTTGTATATTTTCTTATTTTCCAAAAAAAAAAAACCAATATCTAATATCTTGTTGATTGGTTGGGATTGCATTTTTTTTTCTAGCAGAAAATTAACCCGACTGCTTTCAAAAATGCTTTTAAATATGAAATAAACATATAAGCACTTTAGTTTTCCTAGAAGATTAGCTTAATGGGGAAGAAAGAAATACAAATACGGTATAGAGCCCAGTGTGAAATTTCTTCGCATCGGAAGAAGAATCAAACTAGAAGGATTCAAAATTGTTGAAAAATAATATGGAGAAAATACAATCACTATAACAGATGATAATATTTCAAAGAATCTGAGGACCAATAATCTCTGTTCAGATTCTTTTATCACTTGTTCACTTCACCAAATCAATCTTTGGACTCATTTCACTAATATCAAACCTGATTAAAGAAATTTTTTTTTGTTAAAAGAATGTCTTTGTATAGATATTAAAACTTCCCCAGGGTCTCCACGAATTCAAGTAGCGCCTGCCCGAAAAGCTTAGTCATAAATCTTCCTGAAACTAGACCAAATAATCAATCAAAATCAACCGAGGCACAACGATCTCCTCTTCTAAAATGTAAAACAGGCTCAATAAAGTGCAAGATATTCTGGTACACCGCAAAATGAGGGGCGAAAAGTATGATGAGTTCAGTTACTACTACCTTAAATTATAGTTGGAATGACTTCTTCAGTTTGTTCTAAGTAATTCTGGCAAGGATTGAAACTACCAATACTGTATGGTTAATCTGAATGCCATTGTGATGAGCAGAAAATGGTTGTCTTCGGAAAAATATATCACACAACACCTTGTGTCTCTTATAAACCAAAATCTGTTTTAGATTATATGGTTTTCAAAACCTCTCCAAGAACAAGTCCCCACTGAATCCAATGGGTGCCACCCTGCATTTGAGATTCCAAGAAAAACAGTATTCAGGATATGCAATGAGCTTATTATCTGATGACCTATTCTGTGTAGCATCAAGATTTAAATGCTTCTTTTTTGAATATTCTATATCAAGAACAAGCAATTATATGACAAGCAGCAAGAAAAAAGGAACAAAGTAACAAACATAAACCTGGCAAAACACAGTAAAAGGTTCTCGTAGAGGTCCATCACATGAGAGCTCACTTGTACTCCCATCAATGAAGGTTCCATCAGCAAATATTACCTAATAAATAATATACAGGAATTTCTATATAAGGTTAGCAACAAAAAGAATTTAAAGAAAAACAAATACTTAACTGCAATTTGAGTAACTTTGTTTTAATTAAAATGTTACTTACGGCTATTAACATATGAGTGCGAGATCTGATTAATCTGAATCTAAATTTTGAATAAAAGTTATGTAGCTCAGAGAGAAGAAAACATCATCAGCAGGTGCATCACCTATGCATGAGGCACTTAAACTCACATCGTATTTGAACCTCATTAGAACACAAATTTTTCAGGCAAGCTCTTGTAGCTAAAGAAACTCATAAGCAATATCTTGCAAAGAAGGAAAGACTTAACAATGACCAGACCTCAGATGCATATCCAGGAGTTGTACCAGCAATAGGTTTAGTGAATGAACCTACTGGGGAGCTTCTCTGTACAGCCTCACAGAAGGCAAGGAGATGCTCACGGCTTCCTAACTGTACTGCCTGAAAAGCACCACAGAAAAAATTAGATATTTCCCTAGTTAATTTCTTCACCTCTTCTTGCAAACTAAATTATTAACGAGCTTACCAAAATTGCTGTGCCAACAAAATGTTCATCTAACATTTTATCTAAATGAAAGCAATCTCTTTACCAAGTAGATGCACTCAGTTAAAAAGGGCGAGTAAGCCCAGCTCATATGACTTTTAGTCAAAGCAAACACATTAATCATCTGAGTTCAGATGAAAACAATATAAATTAGCCAAAGCAAAACGTGCCTGCACTGTATCATGACGAGGAACACGAGGAAGCGGTTGCACCTTATACCCTTTAGATGCCATGACTTCAGCCATCAGAAGGGTTCCCTTAAATTACAGAATACAACATTTCACCGCCAAGTAAGTAACAAAATATGCAAACTCCAAACAAGCAGAAGCCAATACCTTGACTGCCTCACCAACCATTTGAGGCGAAAGGAACAAACCCTGGAAAAAAGCTCGCATAATATCACCAGGGATTGAACCACAATCAATTCCTAGTCCTGGTGCAGAGAGACGAGCAGCCGCTGCTTCTACCCATTTTTTCCTCCCGGCAACATATCCACCACATGGTGCAATAGTTCCACCAGGATTTTTTATCAAACTGCCTGCAATCAAATCTGCACCCTGCCCCACCATTAACAAAAATATGTTACCTGTCTTCAGACAAAAGGAATGCCAAATATATTACATACCACCATAGGAGGTTCAATCATTTCCACAAATTCTCCATAGCAATTATCCACCATGATGAAGCAGTTAGGATTTTGCATCTGTATACATATAATAGGCATGATTTAGTGAAAGGAAAATACTGTACCAGAGTTCAAAGAAAAAAATTAAGTAATTACACCAATGTGTTAAAAAGAACTTAAGACATTTATATGTTTTTAGACATTTTATCTTTTCATTTTTAAAACCATACCTTTATAATCTTTATGGCCTTCCCTATCTCATCTACACTTAAACTCTGTCGCCATGAATAACCACATGATCTTTGTATCAGTGCACATTTTGTATGAGGTCTCAAAGCACTCCCAAGTGCATCCCAGTCAAGACCCCCATCTTCAGCAAGCTGAAAATTTTGAATGTGAGGGACAAAACAAAATTTTGAATGTGAGGGAAAAAACAATCACAAACAGAAACTCATATCTTGTTTTGCATGGTTACTGGTAACATACAGGAACTTCTCGATACTCAATTCCAAAATCTTTAATAGAACCCATCCCAGAAGAGTCCCTCTTTCCAATAACTTCCTCCAAGGTATCATAGGGAGCACCAGCGACTGCCAAAAGCTGATGATCACGTTAGTCTAAACCATATTTTACTCACAAGTGAGCACAGTACATTGTATATCTACCAAGAGAAGATGCAGCAGAGGAAACACACACAGGATTTTAAATGATAGCTCACCTCATCCCCTGGCCTTAAGAAAGCAAACAACGCACAAGTGATTGCGTGGGTACCTGAAAAAAACTGATGGCAAAGGAGCAGCAGATAAACAACTATTATAAACAATAAAGATTCCAAATAACTATTATAATAAGCAACACTAATTACCTGTGACCTAACAATTGCAGATTCTGCTCCTACAATTTCTGCAAAAACTTGATCAAGTGCTTCACGTCCCCCAGCTTCATCATGACCATAGCCAGTACTTCCGCCAAAGTGCTGATTATAAACAACAAGAACCATTGAAAATACCAACTAGAAAAGTTTTACTATAAAATCTGTCCATATATTAATATCAGTTTTGTATCTACAAGAAAAATATATAATTACATGAGATCCAACCCTAGCATTCTGAAAAGCTTTCAGAACACGGGAGGTATTGCAAGCCACCAAATTATCAACAGCTCTGAACTCAGGATACAAGGAATCCACAGCCTTCACAACCTGGATTGTAGAAAGGAAAAGAAGCAACTCTGAGTGTCAACCATATATGAACACAACACAGATACTAGGATCTGAATTCACAAGAAACCAAAACTAGGATCTGAATTCACAAGAAACCAAAACTAGAATTTAACTATGAACTGAAAAGTTTACAAATTTATTTTATAACTAACAAGAACATGTGCGTAAGAATTATAGCAATAAATGCCAAAGCTTTTCTCTTCAGTCTTCATTTCCGCACACTTATACGAATAGAAGCCTAACCAGATAACTGTTCTGAGTTTCAAGAGACTAGAAAAGCTTTAATATCTATGTCGCATTTTCTCAGCAACCAAACAGAACTATCATAATTCCAAATTTTAGTTTTTAAGATTTTTCTACCAATGAAATGGGTTTTCAGTTCAAATTCAACCAAAGAAAACCCAGCCAAAAAGCTACTTTTATCATCTCATACTTAAAATTTCTCTCTCTATCTCTTTTATATTTCTCAGAAACCAAACAGAAAATAAACCGTAACAGAGAATTGGGGTATGTTTGTTTTACCTCAGGAACAAAGGGGTGGTCTAGAGTTGGAACTGAGACTAGAGAGCTTGACCGAACAGTCGTTAATGTGGATAGTGAAGCTTTTGGGAGGTGAGCAGGATAAGCAGAAGGGATGGCACAGGATAAGACACACATCTCTTCTTCAATGCAATTCAAAGACTTGACAAAATAAAGAGAGAATGAAAATGAAATTTCCTCTGGGCGAAATTGTTCATATGGGCAATGTTGAAACTTTGGTCAGAATTAATACAATTAAACATTTCATATTTTTGTTCGTAAAATTTAAAATTATTACGATTCTAAAGCTTTTAATTTATTAGCTTCATACAGGTTCATGGTAAAAGTTATTTATATTGCTATCATTAGATTTTCCTTTTTTTAATTTAATAGACGACACAATTTAACTCGATTAAATTTTGATTTGGTTTGATTCAAATTTAAAATAATTTTCTTAAAACCCAATCCAAACAATTTATTTTTTCATATAATATATTTTTGGGCATAAATTTGCTATATGTACTTGAAATCCTTGAGAATTTTTTGGTTTGGAAAAGTGTTCATATTTGGTTTTTTTAAATAAAAATTATAGTGAAAGTTTTTTTTTTTTTTTAATTGTCCAGTCAAGTGAGGTAATATTAGGTCGCCAAAAGTCAAGTAGACAACATATTTCCATCCAAGGTCTAGCAAAAAAAATGGTAGGCTTTTTCGACAAATAGTGAGTAATCAGATGGCAGTGTGACATGGGTTTTGAAGAAGAGATGATGAAAGATCGAATTGTGGTGATGGTGTAGATTTCTGATGACAGAAACGCTCGAAAACTAGTCGAGAAGAAGGGAAGTCGCCTAAAAATGCAAGTCACAAATTTGAGACATGAAGGTTATTTTGACGTTTTAATTTAATTAGAAATGACCAATTTAACCTTTAACTCTTATAAAAAAAAAAAGTATCTCTTTGAAAATGAGAATCTGGAACTTATGAAACCAAGGGTATCAACCAAAGATTTCACTAAACCTTGGACGGAAATATGTCGTTTGCTCCAAAAAGTCCTCATGTTTTGTATTTTTTTTTTTTTTAATAAATTTGGAGTAAATTATAACACTTTGGAGACTAAATCTTTGTCACGCATAGATTAGGTGACAAAAATTTTTGTGGCAAGAAATTCACATTTTATGTTTTCAAGTTCTCTATACTAGTATTAGATCTCTTATACTTATGCTGACACTTTCAAACTTGAACTTTAAAATTTGAGTTCAATTGAGTTAAAAATTATTCAAAACTCTTTTGTTCGTCCGTAATATTTTTTTGTTGAACTCAGTTTACGTTACTTTATTTTAACATTTTAACATTTGGATTACAATTTATAATGATATGTCTACAAACAAATCTTATATTATCTTATGACATACCTTTTACTTAACAAATAATTTATTCTCTTAAAAATATCACTGAATATGATCGTCTTCAACCTTCATAAAAGTCTTACGATAGACTTTAATAGTATTTATACCAGTATAAACCAATATTGATTCTTGCAAATGAAATAGAGGAAGCAAAGTCAGGTGATGTGTAAAAATGAAAATGTACTTGGGTTACCACGTTGTGAATTCTTTGACAACAATCATCAAAGTTTAGTAGAACACTTTTGAAAGTCTTCAAATAACAAGTTTTGTATTTTAAAAAACGAATAGTTTTTTTTTTTTTTTTTTTTAATTAAAAAAATTTATGAACGGGATAGAACTCAAACTTTTAATGTAGAACATGGATGCTTGAAGAAACCCATGGATATACTAACTAGTGTGCTAATGTTGGACCATTGATTAAGTTTTGTGACAAACTGAGTGACCGACACTCAAGAACCTTGAGAACCAAGTTAGTCAATCTGCCATTGGAAGACTAGAGGCGCAAAGATCCGGTAAACTTTCTTCTCAAACCGTGGTCAACCCTAGAGAGAATGCTAGTGTCATACTTGAAGAAGCTCACAAGAAACCAATAAACAAAGAAGAAACTAAGGATGAACCGATTCAAGATGGAGTAAACAAGTTCAATAATGTGGGAGATTGAGCAACCGTCTTTAAAGAAGTAAAACAACCACTTAGGGTTCCCATTTCTACTTATAAACCTCCTTTATCCTTTCCTAGTAGGTTCGCAAAATTCAAAGAATGAGGAGCACGAACAAGAAATTAATTTTAGATACCTTTCAGAAAGTGCAAGTCGACATACCACTATTGGATGCCATCAAACTTTTTTTAATTCTAGATAAATTATAACACATTTGGTGACAAAATATTTGTCGTAGAAAATGTTTGATTTTGAAATGGTGTTTTTTCTTTTTTTTTTCTTGCCTCTAAAATCAGCTTTTGGGGACATAGATTATCTACAGAAGTCAGCTTTTTAGTAATACTCACAATAATATAATAATATTTTTATCATTGTAAAATATACTCAACCACATCTTAATAAGAAGGAATACCATATGCAAAGAAAAATTTATACCATAAAGACCATTATTATGTGTTCTTTATATATAAATACTAAGATCAACAAATATAATATCAACACGTATTACATAAAAGTTATCTTACGATACATCTGAATACACGCTTCACTTTTTTAAGTGAATTTTTTTTTATATAATTAAAACACTTAGATGTCATGCTGACGTTTGAGTAATTAATTACAGTATCCAGCCAGTTCATAAAAGGTGGTTCTGACCTATTATGATTCATTTGTTAGGTAAAGAATTTAATACTTATTCTATTTATGAAAAAAAAAATTAACTCTTCTCAATTCATATATTTAGGTTTCTAATAACATAACATAATAACTGTGATGGGGGAGTGAAAAAAATCATAGGATTTCACTAAGATTTGTTAGTAGAAGAGTATTGGGTTTAGGCATTCTATACAAGGAGCTCCTCCACAATCAAACCTCTTCTTTCGCTAAGTGAATGCTCTTAGGTAATTTTCCTTTACTCCATTGTACTTTACTTATGTTTGGATGTGAAGATCACAAGAAAATCAACATAGATGGTCAATTTTATATATCATGTATATATTACTTTTGTTATTATTAGTTTCTAATTCTTTTTTGTATATGTAAAGTATTTTTTTTTTTTTTTTAAGATTACACTATATAATTTGTTGATGGGAGCAGTATTGGCGCCGATAATGATCGGAGAAATATCAGCACCGACGATGATCAGAAATAATTTTTCCTTGTATTTTCTTTGAAAGCAAATGCATATATTTAAGCATGTGTTTTTGAAAATTATTTTTAATTTTACTCCATCATTAAATGTTTTCTTTTTTTGATGATGGTGTTGTGTGGGTACAAATTAATTATTTTTCTTTTATATTTTATTTCTATCCTATGTGTAGAACATCATAAATAAAGACTAAATGGAGATTCCTTATGTGTATCTGTAACTAATTTAATCTTCTCATTAATATCTAGAGTTGATGATAGTGTAGAAATCAATGCATGTCAATTTTGAATGTCTAATTGAGTTGAGCATAAATATAATTAGTGGCTTTTCATCAAAATATTATCTAGATCTAGTCGATACATATTTTTTTTTTCTTCTTTTATTCTAAATTTTTTTTTCAGAGGGTCTTCAATCTTCATGTTAAAGTAAGATCAAGACACTTTAGACAAAAAAATTGACTAGATCGATCCAATTTTATTTTATGCCTTAACCTTTTTTTTTTTTTTTTTAAATTTCTAACGGATCCCTCCTTTTAGTATTCTAATTTACGAAATGTTGATAAATGTCGGATCCAGACACATAGTAGGTGGATTCTTAGCGGTATTGTCCTCTTGGGGCCCTAGATCTGTACGATGTTGTCCCAAAAAGGCGTCTCTAGGTGGTGAGGTGTCTTTGTGCTACATAAGATATCAAGGCCCTCGTCTCCTAACCGATGTGAGACTTTGGCACCAACACAACCTCATAAAGGGTGAGGGGCTTGGGAGATAACCTAGGTCCTTCTTTTAGCACCAACTATTGATGCATGTCAGATCCAAACATATGATAGGTGGGTTTTTAGAGGTATAGTTGGTTTTGGGCACTAGAGCCCTTACACAGTTTTGTCTTAAAAAGACGTCTCTAAGTGATAAGGGTGTCATTATGCTATATAAAAGACCAAGACTCTCGTGTGCTAACCGAAGTGGGACTTTGGCACCAACATGAACTAATTCTTGTTATTTGATAAATATTTGTTATACTTATAATCTCGTATATCAAAAATTTAGTTTAAGGAATAGTTTATCATATATGGATGCACATATTGTTATTTGGAAAATAGTTTAATGCTGCAAATATACTTGATTTTCCTGCTTTATATTTTCTTCTCAGATTAATGCACAGGTTAGATGTATGCATAATTAACAAGGAGATTCATGCATGCATGTATTTATCTAATGCATCATAATTAGAGCACTGTAATTAGTTCTTAATTACTCGCTAATGATACAATATAATAGCAGAATTAATAAAACATAGAAAAAAATATTTATATTTCTATGTTTAATTTCACGTCATGCAACTGCCTGTTTGTAGTGTTGTTATATATATTTTCTTCTCCGGAATTAAAGCCTTTGTATTTATACCCGAAACCCTGAAGCCTAGACATTTGTCTATCTTCTTTCAGTCGCCTATCTCTCTCATCGTCTTCGATCTCACGTTTTGGCCACCACTCTCAATGCATGCTTTTTGACATATTTATCTTTGAAGAATGTGTTTCGGTTTCATTGTATTCGTCTTTGTACAGAGATTGGATTCCCCTATATATACATTGTTTGCATTTAATTTTCAGGACATACAAAACGTTAAGTGTTCTTGACGGATCCCCATCTGTGATTAATCTGCTTGCGTTTTTTTGTCCAACTTGAAGATTTTGAATTGTGGTTTGTGTGTGTTTTCTTGTCACAGATTGGTAGAGAAGAAAGGAGATTCATTAGTTCTGCTAAGTGTTGAGTCTGCAATTCCGAGAATGTTTAACGAAGAAGAGTTGAACTTGATGAAGGCTCTGAGGAGAGGAGCCGACTTCATCGAGGTTGAGTGTGGCTGCACTAGCAAAAAGTATGGAGATAGCATTGGGAAACTAAAGGTTTTCGCCAATGGCCAATTTGTTATTGACTGTGAATGCACCAAATATTGCTCTGAACGTACGTTAATCTCTCTCCCTCTCTCCAGTCTTTTAAAATTCCTATGTCTTTTTTATTACTACTAAAATTCAGCTCTGTGCCTGATGATTAAGACTACTTTTCCTAATCTGAATAGTGTTTCTTGTACTATATCCAAGCTTTAGAAAATGCAGCATTGTAACAGTTTTCTGTGCATTGTTCTGAAAATTAGAGAAACTGACGCCATATGATTTTGAGAAGCACTCTGGGAGAGACGGGAACAGAAAGTGGACACACCACATCTGGGTGTACATCGATGGGACTAGGGTGCCATTGCACAAAACCGTGCTGCTCAAGTACTATAAGCATGCAGCAAATGAAGTGTCAAAAAGCTGCCGTGGGAAACGAACTTTTCATCGCGATGAGTTCATTCGCTGCGCAAGATGCAAGAAGGAGCGCAGGTTTCGTCTTCGAACCAAAGAAGAATGCAGGATTTATCACGATGCTTTGGTTGCTAGGCGGTGGAAATGTGTTGACTGGCCTTATGACAAGTAAGTTTTTAACTGAATACTTATCTACATAAGCATTTCAACTGTTTATTTCTTTCAAAACATTCTGTAATTGAAATGAACTCATCTAGCTTGCCGGCTCCAAACTGTCTGACATTAACACAGCTGGTTGAAAATGCATTTATCTTTGCTAATAAAGGAAACATTTTGTTAATTTTCAGAATAACATGTGCTGATGATGAGGAGAGGGCCAGTCGCAAAAGCAGCAGGGGTTGCCCTCGGTTTCCGAACTGTGAAGGATGCACATCTTGCGTGTGTGTTGGGTGCCTCAAGTGCCGCTTCAAGGACTGCAGCTGCCGCGCTTGTGTTGATTTCATGCAGAATGCTGAGCCTTAGGTGCCCATCATCATCACCAATTCTGCTGGATTGCTTTCAAAAAAGCAGTTGCTCTAAAACAGTAGGAAATTTACTTTCTGTTATGGACTGGTTGTAATAAACTTATCAAACTTTCGCTTTTACTTTCATTCCCAGAGACCAAATGGACATGGTGGGCACTGGGCAACTGCTCTTTTTAGCCTACCTCAACTTCAGAAACTTTATGAAAGTAGTTTTCATGGTTGCTTTCAAATAATTTTGTTATGTTTATTTGTATTGCCCTTAGTATGATACAGTTTTTCCAGGAGGGTTCTGGGTGATTGGTTCATTAAACCAATCCGTACTAGTTATGGTTGAATTCCCCTAATTTGATTGGCTTATAGGTTGTACTTGGGGAACAATTTACTGTAGAAATTCTCAAATTCTGGAGTTCTCTTCATTTTGATTTCTGAGCTGTGGTAGATTGTGGGCAAGTGAAGCATTGTGGAAACAGATTGAAAATACAGAAAAATGTAGTATGAATTTGCAGGGTCACGAAGTATAAAAAATTACAATACATTTCCTGCAATGAAATTTGAGCTACAACCAGTCTTTCACTACAAAGGGTCAAGTAAGTCCCAAAAATTACAATACATTTCCTACAATGAAGTTTGAGCTACAGCCAGTCTTTCACTACACAGCTACATTATGGACCATTTGACAAATTGGTCACTGTCGACGCCTAAAATTTTCTACAACAAACATACGAATGAGCTTTCCCAGTTGAACTCCAAGGAACTTATCTCTCTTGAAGTTAATGAATAACCTAACTGGATCAGTTATATACAAAAAATTTGCACCTGAGAAGGGAAAGGCACACCAACTTTCAGAATCCTTTTCATGGAACCCATGTATACATCATTAGACTCCATAATAAAGCGAGGAGTACATGAATTACCTAAAATCGTGTCTAAATGGTAAGTTGTTGTACAGCAGAAATGCGGTTCCGGCCCCTGCCTCTACGTGCACTAGCAATATTAGCAAGTAAAGAATTATACGTGCTTACTAAGGCGCTAGTTCCCATTAGCTTCAACCCAAGATTATTAATCAGATAGGACAGCTGACTTTCATTCCCCCCAGTCACCTGTTGCAGCTCATATGCCTGCTCATGGGATAACACTGTGTACAGCTGCAACGGCTGGCAGATGTTCTCCACAACCTTTCTTGAATCACCTTTCCCATTCTCAAACGTAACTCTCATTAGCCCCATGGATTTTGGGTCTTCTGTTAAAGGATTGAATACAAACATATAATTTCCAAAAGCCAAATCAGGTCTCCTGAATAGATCTACCAGTATGTCATTGCTTGATCCAACATTCCTCTGAACAGACTTCCTAAAACTATGACTTCTTGTGACTCGCAGAATGCGTGAAGCTTCTCTTAAGCCACTCAAATAGGCTCCATGCATGGTGGCTGGATATTGCCTAGTTGTGGCCTCTCCAGCAAAGAACAGCCGGCTTCCCACACTTTCAGCAAGTATATCATAATCACTACCAGATGACCGTACCCTAATATGAGAGTATGAACCATAGGCAAAGGGGTCACTTCCCCATCTTGTGCATATTGTTTGTATGGGATTAGGCACATCAATGCCTTTGGGTTTATATATACCTGCAAAAAAGAGATTAACTTTCTCAGAAGCTAGATTTAAGGAAGCTTTTTATATGAAAGATGCAGAAAGTGTAAGGGACAAGTGTTAAAGAAAAGCAAGAAAATTGCAAGGTGCATAATCACCAGTCCTTGATGATAATATGATATGTAGTACCTCTGAGTACACTTAAAACACGATGGAGCAAAGTGGATGGATCCGTGCATTCAAAACTTTGTGCAGCTTCTCCAGCCACCAGCGCAGTTAATACTGGACCTCCAGAAACAGTATGGTAACTATAGAACAAAAAGAATTCTCCACGTCTATTGCTATGTTCATTCAGACATCCAAACGTGTCCAGGTCTTCCCCCCAAAATACATGTGGGAAAACCATGGCAACTTTATTTAGGAGTCCAAAACCCAATCGCTCAATAGCTGCAAGCTTTCTCTGAGGTAATTCTGGTTCAAATTTTATTGTCCCTTTCTTCAGAACTCCCAGAGGCACAGTACATAAGACCATATCTGCTTGAAACACTTGGTCACCTGCAATCACCTCAACCCCTTCATTTCCATGTCTTATGGTATTGACAGTCTTCTCATAGAATATGGGAACTCCTTCACATAATGCTTTTATCAGTCTCCCATTCCCTCCAGCAAGAAAACAGTGGTCTCCCCCCATTTCATAAGGATCATCCTGATCCCAATAGGCAGCTGACAGATCTGAAAGACATCCGGCATTTGCATATTCCAAATTAGCAAGGTGCCAATCAAGAAGTTTCCTTTCATCAGTACTTCTAGCCACGGTATATAGTTGCCTGAGTGTGTCCAAAAGTGAACCCAGAGAAACATCATTTGCCAATCCACCCATTATTTTTCTCAGTTCCATGACTTTGTCAAGCAACTTGTTGAAGATAAATTCAATCTCAGTATCAATTTCCTCAGCAACAGGTTCTCCATCTGGATTGTACAAAGGACACTTATCCCTGACTTTATGAAGGGGAATAAAAAGTTGCCTGGCCAAAACCCCAAGAGGGTTAGCATGAAGTCCAGTTATAACACTACCACCAAGATCTGCAGCAGCATATTTACCCTTCTTACCCATCTTCTGAGTATAAACTCTACCCCCAGGCCGTCTCCTACCCTCTAAAACAACAACCCTGAAACCAAATGACATAAGCTGCCTAGCTGCTGCTAAACCAGCTAGTCCCGCACCAATGATTATCACAGTTCCTTCATTTACTTCCTCAGGCATATATGCTGTAAATGACGGTGAAACCCCAAAATTTATATACCCATTATAGAGAAGAAAATCATAAGCCGAGCTTATCAAATGTTCATACTCATTACTAACGGTTTCTTTAATCTGTCCTTTTGTAAGCCACAATCCTACATTACTCCTCCATCTAGCAAGAATATGATTCCTCACAACAATGTAATCATTCTGCTCTTTCCCACCCAATACTCGTACTACCCCAGCTAAAATTTCCTCTTCAAGCAAAGCATCAATTGGAAACCCCAAAGATAATGCTATCATAGCCTCAGTTTCAGTCTCCTTCTCCAAATCCTCTTTAGTTCTATTCTTTTTCTTAGATACACCACCTAAATGCTTCTCTATCAACTCATCCATTAAATTTTCGTCATAACTTCGCGGACCCACTTTCTTCCTCAATGCCCTCTTTGAAACTGAACCATCTGACATAGGGGTTTCCATTATCATACAACACCCACAGGCCCCAACTCTCTCACCAAATTTTTTTTAAATTCTTTCCACAAGCATCAATCTCACAAACCCACCAGAAAAAAACTACACATTCTCTCCCAAATCTACTCATACTTAAGCTCAAAACTAAACATAGCCAAATAGGTATTTATTTTCTTGAAAATTCTACTAAAATTCCACAAATAATCTACACATATTCTTGACGGTACAGTCCATCTTCACCACAAAAAGAAAAGATAATTACGTATAAGAAACAAAAACTATTTGTCTTTCTCACTCAAAATTGAGCTTGCATCAAAGACTAGAAAGTTAAACAAACTAACAAGTCAACTAAAACTAAAAACAGCAATCAAGTTACACCTAAAATTGAATTGAAGATAGCATTAAAAAACACCGAATAGAAAAAGGAAGTGCAATAGAAGCGTTGAATCACCTTGAAGCGTCGGATTTTGGAAATAAATTGGTTAGAAGCAGTAATTAGAGATTTAGGGTTTTGCTCTAGTGTGCCTCGAAAGGCGTGGAAACAAGTCGACGCGCGGAATTAGAAATTGGGTTGGAGGGAACTTTTTGTGGATTTGGGCTTTTTTTGGTAGGCCGAGAAGTGCTGAGTATTATTAACTGAAGTCCACCGATTTCTAAGTGTACTATTTTTTGCTTTGAAATTTGAAATTAATTACACATCTAACTACACCATTTTTGTGCACAATAATTTCTCATTTAGGTTTTTGGAATTTTCACTTAGCTTTACAAATGAAAGGGTCTTAATCTTATAAGCCTAATTTGAAATATATAATTTTTTTTAGAATTTTATTTTAAACTTACGTACACAACATATCTTTGGGTAATTAAAAATGTTGTGCGGAAGATTTGTAGCAGATAAAATCCCGATTTGGTAGAAAGATATCTTGCGATATGAATCTCATAATCAAGCTCGATGATCACGCAACTTTCTGTTTAATCGAATTTGAGTTTATCTCCAACTCAACCATGTGACTGACACTATATAAATTCAGTTATAATCTATTTTTAGGGATAAAAAATAAGTTGCAGAAAGCAAACGGCAAACTCTTTGTAAATCAAATTACTACTTTAACACATTTAATAACATAAAACTGAACGTAGGCCTTAAATTACGAGCTGTCAAATCACTTTAAAAGCCTCTTGGCTCTTCGTGTTTTGTGTTAAGTCTAGCATATTCATCATCATATTGCTTCGTCGTTGATCCACAAGAATTACATACACATTCTACATGATTTTAACAATGTCAATCACATACCTTTAGTTGGTATAAATATCTTTATCAACAAAAAACAATATTATATGAAGCAAAATTGCCATATGGGTACATGCACGTGAAAAGGTAAGGACAAAATGAATTAACCATAAATTAACTTGGAAATTAAATATGGGCTGTGTCATATTAAAGGATTATGTTTATTTAAAGCCTATAAATAAATAGTTTGCATGGGTTTTTCTTCGAAAACAAAAATCCCAACTCTCCCCGAATACTTTTCATCCCATAAAGCTAAACCCATACAGAGCTGGATTTTTCTAAATTTGGCAATGTCCTGGAAATTGCAACTTTCATCATTTTTTCAAGTTACGTTACGTTTACATTAAATATTCAATTTCCTGGAGGCCGCCAAATTTTCCTCTGCCAACGATCAATATTCA